AGGGCTGTCCCTCTGCCATCCCCCTTCTCTCGCCAACACAAACAGAACAAAGAAACGTAATCAACCGCTTCTTTCACTCTTAAATAGTTATTGGTCTGGCCTTGCCCAGAGGCTGGTCTGAAATTGGAGCCGGGGGAGCTTCTCGAAGCCTCTTACAGGAGCCACCTCTGTAGCCCCCTCCCCCACTACCAAAACCCCGCCAAAACCCCACCAGACTCCAAACACCAAACCACCACATCAGCAAAAGGCGCTGAACGAAGAGAAAACCCACTGTTTCCAGAACAGTGGAAGAGCTGGGGATAGCACAATCTGTTCCCATATGATGCCTTATGAAGGTGTGTCATCAAAGTAAAGGGAGGTGGGAGGAACTTGTGCTGCTGCTGCTTATACTGTGACTGTTCTAGGTATAAACAGAGGGCTTAAAGTCTGCAAGTGTGTCACTCTGGCAGCTGTCAACAGTGCTAAAATTCACTCCAAAAGAATTGTGGCAGTGAAAGTTCTCGGGAGAAAAGAGAACTAAAGAGAACTCATGGCTGGAGCTTACAGGCATGAAGAGTCTTCAGTATAACAGCAGATGAACTATGGAGCTACTAACTGTGAAAGGAAGGAGTTAAAAGAATGGGAAGGAAAAGAGAACTCTATTCTTTTCCAATCAGACTGCTCTTACCAGCTGATACTTTGTGTTACCAGTCTGAATCAGAGTGTTCATAACTTTGAGGGCCAGTCTGGATTAAAAGTTTGCTATGCAAATAAAGTGGCCACTTCTGGTTAGAGTAATGTTAGTACTGCATGCATTTCAGAAACATGAAACCTTGTTTTTTGTGGGCTGCATTTTAAAAATCACTCAGCCCTCACTTCCACTCTTAAACAGCTAACCTAGTTCCAGCTAAATGAAAGTACCTTCACCTTCCTCAAACTGAATGTTGACGGCTTTCATCAATAAAAATTGCCATCATTAAAAATTGTCATTTAATAAGAGTAATACAGTAATCTTGCCAATTAGTAATGGAAAGTAAAATATTCCCTACTCGTCTTATTCCTGCATTTCAAGTGCATCAGTTACCTTGTCAAGGAAGAATCCAGAACCATGAGACTTTACCCACTGCAACAAACAATATAAATAGCAGACAAACCCAAGCTGAAAATTATTTGTCTAAAGACTTAGGAATACATTTGTAAACAGGAAATATATTTCTTAAAAATGCAAGAATGATTGGTGAATTGTGTAGTGATCCTAAACCAAAATTATTTGTTACAACTGGATTAAATATGGACCGGCATTTAATTTTCCTTTAAGCAAAATAACTGTTCTAGTATCAGCCAGTTCTATTAATTGCGTGCTGATTTGCTTTTGCAGTGCATACCCAGTCTTCTGTAAGTAGTATACAGTATTGCCAGTAATTTAATGTGCTGTCTTGTAATAGTGTCTCTGAGGATCTGGTGTTCTACTACATCAAACTTCTAGCAACCTTTTTAATTTCCTTGAAACTAATTTGGTGACAAAATACCTGACAGCAATGTTTTCCAGCAATCGCTTTAGGTAGCTGTGGAAAGTTACACAGGTCTAAAACAGATAGAAGAGTCAGAGTGAGAATGCCAGTATGTTATAGAAGATTCAATCATGAAGTGGAAGGGAATAAAAAATTAATTTTCGTGAGGGAATGATATTTGTACAAACTTCCTTGTTTGTGTACTGTCAGGCTAGATCTGACTTTCTCAGTTGAGTCAGCTCCCCAGAACTCCTGGAAGAAATAAGCCCTAGTTTCCTCATTGTGAAGCCAGCACAATATGTTTGAAAAGCAGATGAGAATTAGATCCTAGTTCCTTAAATCTGTGATATCTCAGTGATGAGATCATGTGTGTGTAACCCTACAGGGATGGATTTTAGGTCGATTCTTTGCATTATTTGGTCAATGATCTAGCAATCTTCCAAATTCCAAAGGGCATGTAAAATGAGATCATGCAGGTAACCAGGTAAGGCCTGTTTTTCTATATATGGGTTTTACTTGGTTTGGGTTTGGATTTTTTTTTCCTTTTATACTGATGCTAAAACTTCTGGTTATCATATTTACCCAAGTAGTTTTAAACTAGTGTAAAATCCCTGGAGTCACATGGAGTCAACGCTTATCTAGAGGCATTCAGGAAGTGAATTGTATTGAAAAGGTCAGCCTGACATTCACCAGTAAGGAACTTCAGTGTTTTATTATGTGAAACATATTTCTTTGGATTCTTTTTTCAGTAATCACAATATTTAAAGGTAAAGTGGAAGAAGTTGAATTACCTGTGGATAAAGTAGACATCATCATCAGCGAGTGGATGGGTTACTGTCTGTTCTATGAGTCAATGTTAAACACAGTCATCTTCGCACGAGACAAGTGGCTGGTAGGTGCTCTGCATGTCTTACTGTTTGCTGGAGCAATCATCTTTTATTTTCTGACTACAAGCCTTCCCTCTCCTGCTGTCACCATAACAAGACACAGTTACATCTCCAAGTGCCATTTCTTAGACTTTAACAAAAAGATTAAAAAAGGGAATTTCAGTGAAAGAACTTTGCTTTTGATTAACTTCTGGTGAAATTCATATAGACACTGTCTAACAACATTGCTACAGGCTGCAAGAGTTGCTGAGATGAAAGCTGATGTGACAATCTGAAGGAAAACAATGCAAGGGGTGCTTGTCTGGTTTTTGTATGTGCAGTTCAAAATGTGATGTCTTTGTCAGGTGAATAGATTACGAGATCCATTTCCCCACAATTCATCAACAGAAACCTGGAGGGCTAATGTTTCCAGACCGAGCTGCTTTGTACGTGGTAGCAATTGAAGACAGACAGTACAAGGACTTCAAAATTCACTGTGAGTAAATGCCTAACAGTAATATATTTCTATGGTTATTTCCCTAAAACTTTTGATTTGTAGTGGCCTACTGTAACCTCTTCGCTGGCAAAGTTTTGCAAAGGCCGAGAAATCACACTTGACTGGGCCCGAATTCCAATATAAACATGAACACTGAGAAAATTCTAGTCTGGTGATAAATTCAGGAAACTTGCAGTAATTTGAAGTGCACGAAGGAAAGATGCATGAATAAATTGATGTAGACCTTGCTTAGGGGTATATTGATACCTCTGTTTTAAATGTTGATTTTAGGACATTTAGGAACAGAAAAATTAATAAGAAGCAAATGAATTGTAAATGTTAAGAAATAAGCTTAGGAAAAATTATAATCTCACTAATAAGCATGTTAAGAAGAAAGAAAAATGTAATGCTTTTCTAACTTTTAAAAATGTTTTATGTGAGAATTTTTAAATAAATAAGGATCAGAAATTTCCATTTTACTTTGATGTGAAAAAAAGTTCTAAACTTTTTTGGTTTACTGCACAGATGCATAAAATTGACTTTTCCTTTACGTTTGAAATGTTTTGGGTTTTTTATTCCTTGAGGTTTCATTGAATAACTGGTGCTGTTAGTGACTTCTACAGGTCACCTAGTCCAGCCTCCTGCTCAAATCAGGCCAGATTTCACAGTTAAAGCAGGTCACTCAGGGCCCTGCCCTGTGGTCAGGAGATGGGCATTCCTTAGCTTCTCTGGGCGCTCCCTTAAGAGTAAATATCTTTCTGAATATCCAGTCAGAATTTCCCTTGCTGAAACTTGTCTTCATTGTCCCTTGTCACCTGAAGAGAATCTGACTTTTTCTTTGTTTCTGCAGCAGCAGATAGCAATTAGTTCCCACCATTAGCCTTTGCTGTCCCAGGCTAAGCAAACCCAGTTTTCTTGGACACTCCTCATATCTTAGCATGCAGGTCTGGTTCACGTTCAACTTGTTGTCCCCCAGGTCACCCAAGTTTGGACTTATTTGGTCATAATAGTTTTGATGAAATTAGTAAGTTCTAAGTTATTTCACTCTTCTTTTGTTCTTTTTTTCTTTTTTGGCTTTTATTTATTTTTCAGAGCTGGTCAATTAAAGGCATTTTCCATTAGGGGAAATAGAAAAGTCACAAAATTCCTGAGCAGTTTTATTAATTAAGGATACATGCAAAAGCTTGGGTAAAATTAGTGGGTTCAATCAACCTTTAAATGAAAATGCCTAATTCCTTATTCCTGGCCTGTCAGATCCTCTCAGGAAAGAAAGTTTGGTGTTTCTATAATCAAATTCAGTGCCAATACACAGAACAGCTAATGGGTCAAAACTGCTGTTTGGTCAAAAGTAGGCCCAGTGCAGTGGGGTAATGACAAGAAGTCTATATAGGTTGCAGGGCAAATTATACCTACTTGTCAAGTACAGCCTAGATTTTTCTCCTCAGTTATGTGGTGACCTTGGCAGCTAAATTCCTTACAAAATGTACAGATTCAAAGAGATGTATGAGGCATCCATTCTGTAAAGCAATCAAAGCCTTTTTGGCTTAAAAAAAATCCCTTATGCCTTCTTTCACCATGCTTTTGAACCTCCTGCTTTCTATGCCTTGAGCCTTTTTCTTTTCTCACAGAATACACCTGTCTTCATTTAGTTTTTCATCATTTACAAAAAAAGTTTCATGTTCTTTTTCTCTTCTAAAATGTTGTTTTCCTTTAAGACACTTTCTTTTCTGATTTCACCTCTGATTTCCCTTCCCCCCTCACTTTTTATACCTCTGTGTCTTCTTCAGTTATTTCCATCTCACTACCTATCTGCACCAACATCTTGTCTCTCTTTTCAGTTTATAAATCCTTGACGGTGTCTCCTTACATTTCAATTTTTCATCTTTCTTTTTTTTTGCTTAAGGTGGATAGAGTCTTGCCTTCATATGAGATGCAGGGCTGAGCATTTCAAAGGGCACTCAAGAATCATCATATAGAAAGGATGAAGAAAGAAACGATGCAATATGAGGTTTCTAAAAAAATCTGACTTCTGGTTTCTCAGACTTTATTAATGCCACAGAGTACTGCTACAGTCAATTACTCTGATTTACTGCACAATATAAAACAGATAATTTTATCTTCTAAGTCCTGTGACAGGTCTCTGTCTAATACAGATTGTTGCATATATTTCAAAGGCATTGCGTGTAGGCTGAAGTACATCAAGTGATGGAGGCCCCAACAACTCTGTCAAATTGTTCTTTCAGGGTCTCCTAGTTAATCTTTTCTGAGTAACCACGTAAAAACCATATGGCTTCTATAAATATAATCTGAAGTTCCCACATGCTCATGATGCTGAAACAAAAGTTTGAACACCAGCTTCCCTGAAATACTGAGAAACTCACAGCCCAATAAAGAGATAACACATCAAAGAAATGTTCATGTCCAGATTTGTTCCTGTTTAGAAATATGCAGATTTTTTTGCTCATACTACATTTTAAATCATAGTCCTCTGGGAACACCAGTAGCTCAAATGCTATGCTCTGAAAAAAAAAAAAAAAAAAGACAAAAATGCTCACTGTTGCTGTTTATCAGTTCACTTTGCTTGTGTTCAAACAAATTTTTTAAAAAGTTCACAGTATTCAGTTTAGACTTTCAGATGGAGCACTGACTCACATGATTCATAAGGTGTAAGATTTCACTTTTTTGGAGGTTTTTGGTTTCATTTTGTTAAGCAATCATAAAAGCAAAGCCAGTGTACTTTTCCATGTTTCAATGTTTCAGTGTATTAATTTTATTCAAGAAAAAAAAAAAGAAAAAAAAAACCTCAGCAAGATGAGAAGCATTTATCAAAACAATCAGAAGAACAGTTCAAATAAAGAAGATCAGTGTGGCTTTTAAATATTTTTAGAAAGTAGACATTTGCTTTTTTGTCATGATGTACATACAGATTAAAACTTGGATGCCCCAAATACTGAAACACACTTATAGATCGACTCCTGTCAGTAATTTACATGCTGAAACTAAGATTACTTAAATAATTGAAAGAGCATGAAAACTGCTGGTTGAGTAGCAATCTATTAAAAAAATATATATATTAACCAGAATGGATAGGAAAGGGTAGAATAACCTTAGCAGCTATTCCCAAGTCAACCTGATTTGGGCAACACTCTCAAATGTTGAAAGCCATGAAAATCATCAATAAATCTCATATAACACAGTTATGGGGACACCAAAAAACAAAGGTCACTTGTTCGAAGTTATATATTGAGGAGTTATTTTGCCACAACTATGTTTCCTGTAAAATAGCAGTGATGACATAGACAACTGGGACAGGGAGCAAAGAGCTAAAGAGGAGAGCTGAAAGTTAGAGGATGGTAGAAATTCTTTCAAATGAAAGATGCTTTGAGAAACAAAAAATATTTTTATTATTGCTGCTAATCTTTGACACATCCATTTGCATTGACAGGGTGGGAGAATGTGTACGGCTTTGACATGACCTGTATTAGGGATGTTGCCATGAAGGAGCCTTTGGTGGACATAGTAGATCCAAAGCAAGTGGTGACCAATGCCTGTTTAATAAAGGTTTGGTAATTCCAAATATACCTAATTATGATTGTTTACACCTGATTGTAGGATTCTTTGGAGACCTGCTGCCTATGTTTTACTACTATCTTTGTATGCCTCTAACTAGCTGCAAAGCCAACATGTGCAGTTTTAAATTAGTCAGTACTAGTATGTTGCACATGCCCAGTACTCTCGCCTGAGCTAAGCATGAACATTGATACCTTGATCACTTATGGAATACCCAAAAGCAAGATGCTGCTTGTAACTCTGTACTCATCTGGCTACTGCTAATTGTAACTTAAGACTTACAAATTATACATGTGCAAATACTGGATAAATAGACATGGTGTCTTTACATATGAATTTTACTTGCCCTCCCTTCTTGTAAATAGATGATGGAAACTGATGGCATGCTGCTGACAAGAAGTGGTAAATTAATTCTGTTTGCAGAAAAAAGTCAGAAGCATCAGTTTCTGAATTGGTCAGCTCTGATGAAATAACTCAAATTTACAGCAGAGTGTGAGATCAGAACTGGAACCTAATTTGTTCATATAACTTTCTAATTCTTAGCCTTAGCCAGAATGTTACTGTGCTCTCCCAGCCCTAGCATCTGCAGCCAGAGGTTAGCTTGTACCCTGTTCTACATATGAGACAGAATGGTCATTACTCCCTGTTCGCAAGACCGGGTTAAGTATCCGTAGGCTGCAAGAACACATGAAAGAACTAAAATTCCTTCCATGTGAAGGAATCCTCCTCATGTGGGACAACACTCATGAATAAAGCTGTCCGCATCAATAGCAGTGGTAGGATCAGGTCCATGAGTCCAAGAGTGTACTCATTTATCCTAAAGACTGAGTTCTGATTTTTCACTTTTTTGCCAGTAACAAACGCAGCATTAAGTATTCCCATATGCAAAAAGGAAAGACGTACCTTTAGTCTGCAGAACCTTTACTGAAAGCAGCAAAAAGGAACAGAAGTAGAAGCTGTGTGAGTACATATGCATGCACGGTCCATCTGCAGTGAGGGGAAAACAAGATGGTTGTGCTTGAAAACAGTCTGAGCCAAAGCAATTTAAAACTGCAATACATGCAAATAAACAGCTATTTAGACTGCATAAAATACATCTGAAGAGTGAGAGATCAGGTGGCAAAATGGGTTGGCTTCTCTGGAATAAAAAGTTATAAAAGCTGCATGCCCTTAAATGAAGTGCAAATCTAACTCTTTCTTTAGAAGGTTGAAAGAAATTGAGTTTAAGAAGACAGATAAAATTTTTCAAACTGTTCCTATTCAGGTTTCATATTTCTTTCTACACAGCCAGACATCTTTTGTCCATACACTGAATGGTGCTTTACCACATAATGGCACCTTGGGAGCAAAGCAGGTAATAACTACACAAGCAGAAACCACTCTCTGTTACAAAATCTGTCCCTAATCTCACAGACTGATCGCTACAAAAAGAGAAAATTGTCAATGAAAGGCAGGAAGGAGGGAGGCTTTTGTTCAAGCTAGCAATATGGAAGCAGGAAAAACTAAGGCTGCGTTTCTTTTTTTAATTTAATTTACTTTTGCACGTGGCTTATTTACGTAAAATGGATTTATTTGATATGAAAATATTTGTGAATTTAGAGAATAATATTAACCTAAGAAAACATTTGAGAATAAACAAAGCAATAGTGTTTAATTATTCAAATATTTTGTTTTAGCATTTCAAGATGGCACAGCTTATTCATATTAGATTCACAAAGGGATTTTCTAGAGGTGTATTCAACCCAAAGCCAGCTAACTTAGGGTGCCTACCAGATGAGTCTGGGTTCCCTGTAGATTAGTCAGTAGTTGTAGTAGTTACTAGATGCATTCCTAACAGACCAGTCAGAGCCCTGTGCTTCTTCAGTTATTTCAATTCCCAATTTAGATGCTCTGAATTTTTCTACAAAAATTAGCAAAATAAGACATCAACCCTTGCATTCTATGTAACGATGACACTTATCTAGGATGCTGGAGACTTAAGTAAAAGTTCCCCATTTGTACTCTTCTGGAACTGGATGTAACCCACGTCTTGAATCCCTTGGGGAACTCTAGCCACTAAGCCACAGATGCACTGGGGGTGGTGCATGCAGGGAATACAGCATCATCTCTGTTGTGGAAGCAATTCCCCTTTGAACAATCGCTTAAATATATCCCAGGGGCATAGGAGTTTTCCTGGCAAGTAGGAGTCCTCTGTTTAAATTCCAAACCAAATCAGCCAGGGAGGGTAGTGGAATAAAAGCATCTTCAAACCACCAGAGTCAATAACTGATCTCAGGGAAAGTGTACAAGTGTCTTTCTGAGGGCCTACTGCTTTGAGTAACATTGCCTGAACAAATGGGAAAGATTATTTCAAACTCAGTAAAACAGTTGTGTTTTCTTCTCTGATCCCCTTGCACATTAGAGAAGTACAAATGGGTTTGGGCTGACCCAAAACTTTTCCTCCATTTAATTTTGATTTGGTCTTAGCGCCAGAGACTACAATAACAATAAATCAATTGTTCACACAGCTGTAGAAAAACTTGCATTGAGAGAGTGGCAAAAACTCATGAAGCCAAGCAAGAATGAAGAACATGCCACATACAGTTTATAATAAAAAATACTGTTGGAGTTTCCTGAATATCCTTCCCTACATAGCCACAGAGAAAGAACAAAAAAAAAATTAAAAAATCTACTTTTATGCTCCCATTTGCCCTGCACTTTCCAGGAACAGTTTAAAGCTCCTGCAGGTCACATAACGCTTTAAGATTACACAGTGTAATGATACTTAAAGCACAAACTGCCTTCCATGCACACACACACACAAAAAAAGCAACATTCTTGTTTGTTAGAGGACATAGCGTAATAGCAAAAAAACATTGACTTGTATGCTCAAATATCCAGTTCTTTGAGAAATTTCCACTGTTTTGGAAATACCATGATTCACCAGTATGAAGCCTTATTTCAAAGGACCTGCAGTACTTTCTGCAAAATGTGCTGTTGCTCAGAGAGACACAGCCACACAGCTGAGGTGCTTTGTGAGCTCCAATGAATCCCATGTTCTTCTCCCATAGTAGTCTTCACCCATGAGGTTTAGGACAAGGCTTTCCTTGTGAGACTTTTCTCTTGTTCCACTGCAACTTCAGTGGAACTCCCTAATCACTCTCAGCTTCTCCTAAAGTAAATCAAGAGGCAGCTATGCCACTCATTTTCCATCTTTCTTCAAACACTGCTCTTTTTTTCTCATTTTTCTTCTCTACTCTTTTCTTCACATGAAAATGTCCTTTCCCTTTCCAAAGTGACTTTCCCTCTCACTCTTTGCTTTCCAACAGTTCTCCTCACAGTGTTTCCTTTCAGTATCCTCAGATTTAACTCTGCCTACTCCCCCCACCAAAAAAAAACCACACACAAAAAACCTACTTGAACAACAACAAAAAAACCCAAACAGCAACTTAGTAATTTTCAGATATTTCCTTCTGTGCATACAGAAGAAGCTGGCAGAAGAGGGACCCTGTCAGGAGGCTGAAGTCTCCGTTATCTAGAAGCCATAGCTACACCGGCTTCCCTGTTATTTCATCTAATAAAAAAACAACATATGCTGCAATATCTAGTCAAAACAATCTCAGATACTTCATTCTTTCTTTCAGTGCTTCCCTAAACCACCCAGAATTTAATGCTTCTTCTCTCCCCACATTAATACTGTTAGTTCTCTGCACTCTTAAAAAAAAAAAAAAAAAAAAAACAGAAAAAAGAAAAATAATTTTCTTTTGGAAAAGTGAATGTGTTTTGGCACTGATGCTGATTATTGCATTCAGTGCTCCCCTCACATCTGTAGTCATGTGTGCAACTGCCAATATAGGTAATTTTCTCAATGCCTGTCAGAAAAGAGAGTTTGGCTCTTTCTCCTTTCCCTAGCAATTTATTTTACTTCTCAGCTGACAGATTAATCCTTTTCCTGAAGCTGGCAATATTGCTTCTATCAATGCCACCTGTCTTCCAGCTTCTTCATCAGTTCAGCACCTTCAACTGCTATGACTAGCACTGCCTTCACCATCACATCCTATGCCAAAAACAAACAAACAAAACCGCCCACCAAAACTAGATATGGAGTGAGATTTGCTTCTTTAACTTATCTCCACGCTTATACAATCATAGCTGAGTAAGATGAGTGCCTGGGAAGGGGATCAGAAAAGAGATGCGGTGGCACTCTAGAAGCATCCTTAATTGTGATTCGCATGAAGAAATGGGTCAAGCAGCAAGCATTTTTCCCATCATTAAACGTAATTCAGGGCTGTTTCATTAGTTAGGTTGCCTTCAGCTAAGGTGATACCATTCAAATAAGAAACACAGCAGCTGGCAACACCCCATCTCAGCCTCGCTGTTATCATCCCTGTGATTCTAAATGATTATACATAATTTTCTCAGTCCTAAAGCAGTTTGTGCCACTGGACAGCCAAAGAACCATCCTTTATGCGGTGAATTTAAAAACTGGACCTCTGTCTCTCTGCAACAGGGACATGTAGCACAGGATGTCTCATGGTCTTTCGTGCAGTGTCAACCACAGTCTGGACCTCCTTATTTAGCTGATAAGTCTGAAACTTCTATTGTTGCTCAGCTTAATAAGTTTTATTTTTTTTAGCATAATTAAGAGCTGTATTTTGATCGTATCCCTGCTTGACTATGCCCATTTTCTTGTTTTTGAAATCTGAATGAAATCTGGGAATTCATCAGTTTTCCACTTATTTTATGCAAAGATAACATTTCTCCCCTGTGCTGTTAGCTGTAACTAACATTAAATGAGCAGTGACATTTAATATAAGAATATATAGTAACCAGAGTACAATTCAAAGAGATCACCGAAACAGGATAAGGCCAGTTTCGAAACGATGTTAATTAACAAAAAAGCCCACAAGTCTCATATCTTACATAGTAAAAAAAGCCTGTTGCTGTCCTTAAAAAAATGACTACAAAAGTGACCCCCATTTTATCCAGCACATCTGTTCAATACTTCTGAGACTTTTCCACTAATTTCTCTAATAAAAATATCTCCTACTGCTTTTGATACCACTTTACCCTGCAGAGCCAAAACAGCTCAGCAAGAGGGAGCTACGTTTCTTTTATGTGCCTCATCATTGGACTTAATTCACGATTTCCGCACAGTGATACCACCGAAAAGCCACCAAAAATTATACAAATCTGTAGCTGTCACACACCAGTCCAGTCTAGCTTGTCAAAGCAAATTTTGCAAGCTGCTATGGAAATCTGCCAGGAGACTTTAGAAATTCTTATTCTTAGTATGCTTTTTTCTTTTTATCTTCTTTTCAGAAAAAGCAAACAAACAAAGAAAGAAACAACAAAACATTTTAAGCTATCCCAGTTTTAAATGACCACTTACAAGCATGGGTCACTTATGAACATTAGTGACTCAGTGTGCCATTGCAATGTAATAGAATAATTTTCATTGTGGTAAAGTTACTTTTGAACAATACTGCTAATCAGACAGGCCAAAACCATAGCTCACTTAAATCATCTCACTATAAGCTTTCTAAGTCTCAGAAACACATGACATGTAGTCCATGCAAAGACCTCTAACTGAAATATAACTGCATCTTTTGATGTCTATTTTTGCAGACTTCTCTTGGATTATAGAATGCAAATGCTAAAAGAGCCCTCTATTGTGCCCTAAAAGAGGCTAAGAGAGCCCTCTATTCGATATTCTAGACTCCGCTCTCGATTTTTGCAGTGTGAGTCTGAAGTAATGCGAGCGAGGTCAGTGATGTGCTTCCTGGCTTATGTGGTAGAGTAGAGGAAATTTTGATTTCTACCTATAAAGCTTCTATTTATCTGTATGCGTGAGCAGTTTTGTTAATAACTAATTTCTGAATAATAGAAAGAAAAATACTTTTGGAGTATCTGACTCTTGCCAAATATGCCCTGACAAGGACAATAAGGCCAGTGAAGCCAGATACACTTAGAAGGATATCAGAAAGTGCACTGATAGGAAACATTTTCCATTGCATTAGAATACAATTAATGGTATTTCAGACTTAGCATCCTCCCTGTCATGACTACGACTTTTGGAAACAACCCAGATAAAAGCAATACCTACCTGGGAAAATCAATCAAATAAGCAATCTTGGAGACTACATCATCACTCCCAGCCACTGCAGTCAAGCCATAGTATGATTTACATGATTTGCTTCTGTCTAGTTCAAGAGTATGATCCCTGTGCTTACTATTTGGAATTGATTATCTGACACAGGACTAGAAAGCATTACCAGCAAAAAGCAGATCCCTGTCGTGCCTCTAATGTTTTGACTGCTTGACACAGTCGAAGCACATTCCCTTCCAGAGATGCTCAAACAAATAGAAGTTTATTTTTATTAAAAACCCAGCTCTGCCATCTTTCCTCATGCTGACAGTCCCTGATGATGAAAGTTCTTAGAACTGGGACCTGTATGTCCGTTTCAACATCCATTGTGCCTGTATTTGTCAAAGCACGTTTTTACCTTGGTTTCCTCCAGCTACCACAGCCCCTCCCTGCCATTCCCAAGGACACAGACTTTTCTGTGTGTGGCTTCTCTTATCACACCCTGCCAGCCTAGTCAGACAACTGGATCATTTGCTGATGATTTGATATATTCAAAGGTACCATTGATTTCTTACAGTGTTAAAGGGCTGCCAGTTGTCTTTGTTGCTGATCATTAAACAAAATGCTTATGTACATCACTTACCTTAGAGTCACAGACATCTGCATGTAAATGTCTTTTTCTTCTAAAAACAGGAAGTAGATATTTATACAGTGAAGACTGAAGAATTGGCATTTACTTCTGCATTCTGCCTCCAAATTCAGCGTAATGATTACATTCATGCCTTGGTCACCTATTTTAATATCGAATTTACGAAGTGCCACAAGAAGATGGGATTTTCTACAGGTAATCTTTTAATATCATTTCTATTGCTATCAGTATGTAAGTGCTACTGGTCAGATTTTACAGGAAGGTTTATTGTACCACCATGTTTGAATTTCAGTGATAAAAATTATTGTCACTTTGGGGGAGGTGAGCAGGATGGGGAAAGGACAACTGCTTGTAGGAATTGTGCAAAATCAGAGGCAGGATTTCACAACAGCTAGTGAGCTTAGAGCTCAGCGGGAATTATGACCCAAAAGTTTGTGCTCATCACCAGTTATATCTAAATCCTGTGTCAAGTTTCTGAGATTAGACAGGGAATTGTTGTCTCAGCGTGAGATAGCAGCTCTGCATCCTAGTTTCCCCCAAATCCAAAACTCAGCAAATGCTCTTGCTTGTGTCAGTGTCTAGATCAAAACCATTGCTTTTTTCCAAGATATAACCACACATATACTGATTAGATAAATTTGCTCTAATAACCCAAATGCAAAACTCTAACTTACCTTGGTGAGCAGGCATTTAAAGGAATAACTCCATTCCTGTAAGGCATCATTTACCAGAGTGAATAAACCAGCCAGTGTTGCAAGAAATGTAAAAACCTCATGACTGGTTTAATGACGAGAACAACAAATTACGATTGATGCTGGCTGCAGTTAGCACCATTACACAACTCAAACAGGTGTAAATGGGACCTGATGTAAGTTCAGTATGATTAGAAAACTTTTTTTTTCTCCCTTCACAGGAGCTCTCAACCCTTTACAAGAGATTCAAAGCTCAAAAGTACTTTGTTAAAATACTTATTTATATTTTATTCTAGAAGTGTAGCCATATGGATGGTGTTATTTATTTATGTTCCTCATATTCTTATGTTTTTCAGTAACCATGTTTCCCTGGTAGTTCTACAAATGTGTTACACTGTAGTATTTCCCACACCATGATCGGCATTAGTATATGCTGGGAAACAAAGTGTAGCTAGCAAGACATGAACAATCTGTGAGGCACTGCAATGGTGTGCTGAAGTGCTGATATTTCTGAGTTCGTGCTGAACAAAATTATGTAAGGTGGAAAACTCTTTAGGTTTTAGGCATTTGTTTTTTCCATAGAAGCCTCATATTTTTCAGCCAAAGGCAACCCATTAATCTTTTCTGAAAGGTAATATAGTCAAACCTCCAGTTTTCTGTAAAAAATAGCTTTGAACAAAGGGTGTAGTTACTGTGTTGTGATCTTAACTGAAACCTACCTTGGTAAAGGAGGTCTACTTATATTGCCAAAATAACATGGATGGTTTTTTATATCATTGAGAATGTGACTTGCTCTGCAAAGGAAAAATGGAATGTGTTTCTGCGTTGTGTGTGCATATGAACATATAAGTTTAAGAAACATTTGTTGAATAGGTTAGGATATTTAATTAATGTTTTCCAGTCAGATGTGCCCATCACCAAATCTGGCCCTCAAACCCAGCCATTCCTTACTTGACTCTTAGACATCCCAGTGAACAGGCATCAAAAGTGGCAAAGAAAAGGACCCATTATGTTATTGCAAGGAATGGCTTGTCTGCATAGTAAACATAGAATTGCTCCAGTATCAGTATAACAAAAGGTGGCAGGGATAAGGATGTTCTTGACTCTTCTTGTCTATTGGGTATATGGAATAAAGAGGACTTACACAGGCACTTAGAAAATATTCTGCAAGACTACCACATGTAGGCTTAGCTTCCCTTAGCTCATAGGAAGTGAGAACCTGAAGAAGGATAGAGGCTAAATAGTATAAGGGAGAAGAGGCTATATTTGGACAAAAGCCTAGGGCAAATATCAAGTTTGGCTTAGTGTTTTTCTTAGCATTTTTGCAGACTCACCTCAATTTGCAAATGTATGTATAAGGTATTTTTTGCCTACCTGTCATAAAAAAGAGGGGACAAGAGTCACAGTCTCAAATATTTCTGAACCTCTATCAAGAACAGAGTTCTTCAGCAGTGCCGGAAAACCTAGCTTCTCTAAACTAGCTGTAGCTCCCACAGGCTGCTACTTCAGAGGTTCTGAATGCTTAGTCATAAAATCATATAATCAAAGAATGGTTTGGGTTGGAAGGTACCTTAAAGATCATCTAGTTCCAGCCCCCTGCCATGGGCAGGAACACCTTCCACTAGAACAGGTTGCTCAAAGCCTCATCCAACCTGGCCTTGAATACTTCCAGGGAGGGGGCATCCACAATTTCTCTGGGCAACCTGTTCCAGTGTCTCACCACCCTCACAGTAAAGAACTTCTTCCTAATATCTAATCTAAATCTACCCTCTTTCAGTTTGAAACTGTTTATCCTCATCCTGTCACTACACTCCCTGGTAAAGAGTCCCTCCCCATCTTTCCAGTTAAATAGCACTGATCCCAATACTGTCCCTTGAGGAATGCCACTTGTCACTGGTCTTCACTGGGACATCAAGCTGTTGGCTGTGACTCTTTGAGTGCAACCACCTAGCCAATTCCTTATCCATCAAGTGGTTCTCCATCAAACCCATATCTCTCCAGTTTAGGGACAAGGATGTCATGTGGGACAGCGTCGAACGCCTTAGACAAGTCCAGGTAGATGATGTCAGTTACTTTTCCCTTAACCACTGTCACTGTAACCCCATCGTAGAAGACCACCAAATCAGGCACAATTTGCCCTCAGTGAAGCCCTGTTGGCTGTCACCAATCACC